GGGCTCCATCTCAGCCCTCGGGTGCCCGAGTTGCACCATTTTCTGAGTTCCATAGTTCATAAAAAAAGCTAGAATGTATTGGTTTTGGGGGGTTTCTTGATGATGTAATAGTGTACATTTGTGGTCCATGCAGTAAGGTATTACATAAAGTAACAAACTTTCCAGACTCAAATTATATGGCAATTCTAGGGAGAGAACAAGAAGTTAAAAAAGGCTATCATTTTATTTAAAATGCTACAAAATTTGTGTACATACATGGTAAGAGCCAACAATTTGTGTACATACAAGGTAGGAACCTACAATCGCATAGGTTGAAACTGATACGATGTTGATATAACCCTTTGGGCTTATTTTTTTAATAGTATGAGATGATTATAAGGTGATATATGTTCATAGTTTTTCTGAACTATTGATAATGCACACACTCTCTGTAGATGCAGGTGCTCGAGCCTAAAATCTCAAAGTAAAACAACAATCTCCTCTTTAATTACTAAGATAATTTCATGTAACCCTTTGGATCTTAGCCCGGATGAATACTTCGGAGCCATATCGTATACCGTCCCTTTCAACAGTTCTGGGCTGTTTCTTATTTGTGATTTCCAGATAATTGATTCCCAGTCCCATCAATAACTAAATCAATTGCTCAAAGGTCATCAAAATTGCTGTAAACGACTAAAAGATTAGAACAAAGAAACACTGTTTTCCAGTTCGTGTAGATGCTTTTGAAGTTTTTACCACTGTGTTGTTCTCAAGTTTCAAGAATTGCCAAGTACCATATTAATACAACCTTTGAATTGCTTGTTTTGTACATTTCAGGACATGAAAAATGAAAACGTTTATAACTAAAGATCACCAAAATACATGAAACCTGTATTTGCGTTTACATTTTAGTCTAAATAATATAGTTACAAACATGTTATTCAAATTTGAGTGAATGTCAAATATATGTATAATTGACATAAGCATATTGTTTTTCTAAAATTATTAGAATAAAAACTACAGAAGTGACCGTTAAAAACTTGCAACCAACAAATAAAGGACATGCATAGTTAATAAAATTTTCACATGGGGGTAAATCAGCAACACAATCATATAAAGGGAGGCGACAACCATCATAAGGGCAACCCCCTTGGCTCAAACACATCTATCATTTCCACCCAAAACATTCAAACCTCAATCCTCAAAAACATCAAGTATCTTTGGAGTATCATATATCCATACTCATTTCCGAATGTGTGTTCGAATATTAATACTAAACATGAATACTTAAGAAAATGAAGAAACTCATAAATAGCACTTTAAAGTTCATCCTATACTTTCTGTTGGTCTGAGTGTATCTATGTAAAGGGCGTAAATATATTATTCATTATAAAATTACATATTAAATAAGTTTTATGAGCTATGATTTGGATTCCTTTAGACAGTGATGGCCTTTAACTCCCCATACATTTTTGAACAAGCATAGGCAATACCTGTCATAGCTCTGAAGAGCTCTGGCAACCGAGTTTTAAGGCTCACCAAAGATTTCTCCCTCACCTGAATACATAACCTCCGGTAGGCCTCTTCCTCTTCTTCCAACTTCTTTTTAACTGCTTCCACCATAAGCTGTCTCTCAGCGACTGCATCATTGCCAGGGTTGTCTTCCGCCCCGGTCGGATCCAGCTCCTCCGGTGTTCTTCTCTGCATATACTTGTGGTACCAGTCCTCAAACTGTCGTTGCTTCTTCGCAAGCTCCTTCCGAGTTTCCTCGCATTTTTCCTTCAGCTTCATTTCATCTAGTTGGTGCTGCATGATAGAATCAATCACGTGAGCAAAGTTATTAATGGCACTTCTTGCAATCTCGTCTGGAAGTTTCTCAAGTTTGTCCAGCCAAGCGAGGATGAGCCTTTGAATAGGTGGAGTTTCGATCCGTGGTGGCGAAGAAACTTTTTCCTTAAGGCTGCTTTCAATGGGGATGAGATTTAGCCTTAACCAATTGTTCAGAGCTTTTATGTACTCTTTCTGGTGGTCTATAAGCTTGCAAAACTGCATGTGCCAATCCTGCACAATTGCTAACAGCTGGATTGTACGCTCATGGTGGTGCTCGCTTGTTTCCTTCGGCGATTGAGATAGGTCCAAATTATCCCTCAGGATTGCCACAATCCTAGATTGGCCTTCATGTTGAACTCTCATGGTTTCCCACATTGTCGCCATCCTGCAAATTGACACATCACAATACACACCATAAAAACTTCAAACAAGAAAAAAATTCAAGGAATTCATCATCTGCTAAAGGATCTTAGATACAGCCTATGCAAACACAGTAAATTGATGATAAAAATCATGAAAAAATCCACAATAGAAGGGGATAAAAAGGCAGAAAACTAAGAATGTAAGGTTACAAGTATCCATAGGTGAATGTTAATACTAAAAAAAGGGGCTGCTCTGCCATTCAAAACTTTATTAAGTGAAGCCTTTTTTTTCCAGGAGAAAGTCTAGTATAGAGTTAAAACAATGGACAGCAACTTACCCATCAATGAGCAGAACAAGTTTTGGGTAGAGTGCTCATCTCGTAATCGATTTATCTCCGAAACTGTGAATCCATGGATTGCATGTCGACAATGTATCTAGTATGTAGATGACTTACTGCTGCTTTTGCCTTTTCAAGTGCCTCAGAATTGGTACCTCGTTTCTTTAATTTGTTTAGAGTGGCAACCTTTCTCTGGTACTCAAACTTCATAAGCTCACCAGCCTATCCATAAACAATCAAACCCATCAAAGAAGTGCTTAATTTAACGAATCAAACAAAAGCACACAAATGCTGTCATTCTGAAAGGTGTTATGATATTATAAAAAGGTTACTGTTTAAGCAACTAACTCGGTATCAATCACTAGTTCGGGCCAGAAGATGAAGCTAAGCTCATTTGTAATTGACAGAAGAAGATATGTATATTTGAAGAAGCAAAACAAATATTAGCACTAGCATTAAAGAAAATCGAAAATTAAATAAATAGTACAGTATCTTGAACAAGAGTAGGCACCAGAATGACATTTCCCATTTCCTTCAACAAGGCTGCTACAGATTATTTGAAGGAAAACAAAATATAATTTGAAACGCCCATATTCAATGTGGCGCTTCTCTAGAATAATCACAATTTAGGACTTAAGTGACAGCTAAGAATAAGATTTTGTTTAGAGATGGTGCAATGACCTACTAGTCAAACTGGACCTTGAGTTTGTAGCTAAGTCACTGAACTAAGAAATGTACATTTTGTATTGGTAGGCTCAAAAAGGAAAACACAGTTATATCCCATTAGATATCTATTACAAGAGGACTGGCCCTTTGGAACAATTATTCGGACTTCACATATTGATTCCACAAACAAGGAGTAAACTACTTCATCGTCAATCAGACAATACCAAAATGACTGAAAATTTTTTGCTTCATGTAGCTATAGCTTTCTGATGATCGTTGTCTATACAAGCATGCATGGGTTCACATGATCCAAATCTCAGATGTGTAGATATCAATGGTGAGACATTATTTTTGATGTACCATTTCTTCTGACAGAAGAGAAAAAGAACTTGATGTTGAGCAGTAACAATCTGAACTATGTCATAAATGTCAAAAATAAGGGCCCAGAGGCAAGTACAAGCGGTGAATTAATACACAACAATAATATCTCTAGCCTTGTGCAAAGTACTATTCAAGACAAGGTAACTACTTGTACAGGTTGGCCATGAATTCTTGAGTATCAATCATGACAAATGAATAAAAGGACAAAGAAAACAATTTTATGCCGGTTAATTTATCAAGAAGCATCAGTCAAACTGTACAAAATGAATAAGAGGACAAATGACATAACAAGAATAAATTCTATAATATACCTTTACTTCATCATAAAGCTTTTTCTCCCATGCAAGCATTTATCCAACACGGTGGCATGGGTCTCATTCTCCTCCGAATCAAAATCATCGTTTGCGTTATCAGCATTGTCTAAATTTAATCCTCTAAATGACCGGTTCCAAGTAATAACACGCATTACTCTTGCGGAGTGATTAATGTGTCCTGCAAGCATAAATCAAGATAAGAAAAGCCCAGTCTAAGCTACATTACATGAATAATATAATCAAATTATGCAATTCCAGGAGGAGAAAAAGAACAGAGATATTAGCCAAATTGTTAAACTCAATCTTATGGTTTTGCATAGCTGATCTCCGGTTAATGGTAATTAATGTTTATTTATTTGTAAATCTAACACAGTTTGAATCTAAAACAGAACCAGATAAAACAATCTCCATTCTTGAAAAGAAAAATTCTCCACAAACTAATCAAAAACTTCTAAGTAAATAGCCTGAATCTTTAACAAAGTTTAAACTACTGATATGCAGTATTCACTAGTTCTATGCTTCATGCAAGATCTGTCATTCAAAATCCAATTCCTTGAAAATCTTCATCTACTAACTCAATGTTACAAAGGAATGAAAACCCATATCTACTTATAGCCACAGTGAAATCCAAGACTGGACTCATTTTTGGAGAGGGAATGGGTAACTCTCAAAACACCCTTCAACTGCATGAAAACGCTTTACAAAAAATTGAACACACAAATGTTGGAGAGATATCCATATCTAAAACTCTCACCCTGAGTACAAGTACCAAAGTTTTTGGCAAACTCATGCAAGAATTATTAACATTGGAAATCCAATCTTAGAATTCTCAAGCTGAATGATGATACCAAACATTATGAAATTGAACGATAATCAAACTTCACGGTGACAATACTTATCCATCTAAGAGAGATACCAAAAAATCCTAATCAAAAACTTAAGTACTGACTGATGCTGAGGTTCATAGTTAAAATGTGGAAAAACCCCATTACCTCGATTATCAGCAAAATTTGAGTGATAATGCAACCTAGTAGCTTCCAACATCTTGGAAACCTCATGAGCACTCTCTGAGGCCACCAAGAAATGATCATCAAGTTCAGTAAACACCTGCAACAAATTGAAATTCCCCTTCCCCAACCTCTTCTCTACCGTACTACCAAACCCCACTTTCGCAGCCTTTTGCTAACTTTCCCGGCCCAGCTGCCATAGGCACCGGCGTCTCCACCTCCACTGTTGCCTTCTGTCCTTTCTCCATAACTACTTCCTCCTCCCCCATATTCTCCTCCACCGCCTCTTCTTCCTCTTCTCTTCTCGGCATTTCCTCAAACACCTTCCTTTCAACCGCCCTATTATCCTCCACCCTCATTTCTTCTGCACCCTCTAAACTCGGTCCGGGCACACTATCGCCGTAAAAGAAGTAATAGTAAGTTGAATCCTGAGGCGGCTGTGATTGCATCGCACGCGCCTGAACTGTCGTTGATGTCACTACCTCCACGTCTTCTTCCTTTCTTCCCTTAGTTCCCTCCTACTCTCCTTCCGCCACTACCACTCCCTCGATACTTCCGCGATCTCCGCCTAACCAACGAACCACTCGCTTCCACATCGTCCTCCTCCTCCTCATCTTCCATGATCGTGCTCGTCGACGTCTCCTTTTGCTTCCCTTTCAACGGCATCTGTATCGGCATACTAGCCGATCGCTGGATTGGAACGCCCGGATCGCCGGAAAGGTTCACGGGAGGAGGGGGCGGAGGTAAGAGCTTGTCTACCGGAGGTGGTTGCGGCGGCGGAGGTCCCACAAAGGATGGCCCAGGGTGAGGAGGGGGATTGGTATTCTGGACCTCACCGTGGGCGTAATCGCTTAAGGCGGCGCCAGTGTTCTTTAAGGACATGGCATAAGCAGAGTGGGCGGCGGCAAAGGCGTTTCGAGCGGCGACCGCTTCTTTCATGAATTGTCTTCGCTCTTTGCATCGGGTAACAGCTTCTTCGTTCTCGATTCTCGACTGAGAACAACCCATGATTCCCCCAGAATTGAACTGAATCGAATAATTGAATGATTTTGAGCTATTGTTTAAAGTTGAAAAAGATAGAAGCTTTTTCAGACACAGTTCTTCTTGTCTTGTGAGACGAATGAAACGACGAAGCGTTTTTTTTACACAAAACAATGTCCGGCACTAGAGGAGGACGCAGTATTTAATTATCAGGGTAAACTACGATTAACGGGCATTTAATTATCAGGGTAAACTACTATTAACGGGTGTTTTTTCCGAAAAATCACTGGTGATCGGTATATTTACAGATCTAACATCGGTTAAATTATATTTCTCGATCTAACATCCGTAGAAGTAAAACGCGCTCTCTGTCCCCGCGTTATATGCTGATTTGGCGTCACGTGGGGTATAACGCGCCCTCTGTACCGCGCTATACACTGACATGGCTTATACGTGGGTATAGCGCGACCCCTGATTCGCGTTATACGCCACGTAGGGGTATAGCGCTGCCCCTGCTCAGCGCTATACCTGGGTATGAATTATATTTAGCGAGGACCATCTGAATAATTACATATAGCGCGGTGCAGGTACCGCGCCTTATATAGTTATAAATACCCTTCGCTCCCAGTTAAGTTTCTCACATCTCCTCACATCTCTATCCTCTAACTTATAAATTAATACAACAATTCCGTCAATGAGTAATAATTCTGGTAATTGTCTCATATTTGATTTAGAAGTTCGTGCGATTTTTTGTTATAAATTTTGTTATAAATTTTTTTATTATACTTATTGTTTATTATGATTATTTGAAAAAATATTATACTAATTATTTTCAATTAATTTTTTGTTTTTGTAAAATTGAAAAGCATGAGCATACGTCAAAATAGTTTTGTGGGTAATAAATAATAAAATTATATTATTTAAATTATTTACGTTGATGTGTAAAAAATTTATTGACATAACTCTTGAGGAGCTGATAACGAAGATTTCGAGGAAGATTCATGTTGGAAGTAGTAGAAGATTGTCGTCGTTGCAGTACAGATTTCCAACATCATTGTTGTCATTAACTTATACAGCGTTTGAACTTTAGAACAATAATGATGTTCAAATGATGGTTGAAGCTCAAAGTAATTATTCAGACGTCGCTATTGAGATGTATGCACATTTTGTTCAAGTGTGTGCTGTTCGGGGTCAATCTTTAAGCTCCTACTATGGGCTGGCTGAACAAGTTGATCAAGTTGACAGCTCGACTACAATAATGTGCAATGATTTTAATGCCATAATGGGGAGACATTCATCCGCAACTCCTTACGATATGTACCGAGGTAGGTCCACGAACAATCCGTATGGCAACACCGCGTCCAGTTCAAGGAGAAGGCATTCATCTGCAAATTTCTTTGACCATATGGAGATGCATTCGACACGATGGCTTCAAGCTCCAGGGGAGGCATTCGACTGCGAGCTTTTTCGATCTCAATGTCGATATGTCTTCCAGTTCAAGGGGAAGGCGTGCAAGTAGTAGGTTCTTCGACCTAAATGTGGAGAGCATGGAGGAACCATCATCTCCACCAGAAGAACCGCTTCGTGAGCCTGGTGTGGATGGTGCTGAGACTGGACTATTCATTCACCCAGAATCACCGCAATTCAACTCCGATGATGATGAAGTTCCAGGAAATGTGGCACAAACTGACCCTCCTGCACACATGTATGAAGCTGATTATGGAGCAATGTATGGGCCAGAATTTGCGGATATGCCTCATCTCGGTGACTATGGATATTACTCATCAATAAATAACGGTGAGTTATATTTAGGCATGGATTTTTCAAGCAAAGAAGAAGCGATGATAGCTATAAAAAATTACAATATCCGTAATTCTGTTCAGTCCAGAGTCAATCGATCGACGACCGAAAAATATGTATGATATTGTGCCCGACGCAAAAACGGATGTAATTGGATGGTTCGCGTATCGAAAATGAAGAGGAAAAACAACATATGGGAACTAACAGTATACAACAGTCCTCACATATGTTGTGCTGGAGGGGTCAACCAAGATCATCCCAACTTGGACTCTAAAATGATATGTCAAGCCATCATGCCCATGGTAAAAATAAGCTCTCATATAGTTGTTGCAGTGTTGATTTCAGCTATACAATCGCAGTATGGGTACACTGTCTCCTATAAAAAAGCTTGGTTGGCAAAACAAAATGCCATTGTCAAACTTCATGGCGAATGGGATGCATCTTACAACGAACTTCCAGGTTGGTTTAGGATGGTGCGGACGTTGAATCCTGGGATAATTGTGGACTTCGAAACCTCATATGCATACCATAATGATCGAGTTCTTCGCGATCGAAACCAATTCTACCAGGTTTTTTGGAGTTACCCACAGTGTGTTAATGTTGCCAAATACTGCAAGCATGTGGTCCAGATCGACGAGATTTTCTTGTATGGAAAATACAAGCAAGTTTTATTGTTAACAGTTATCCAAGATGGCAATCGCAACATTCTTTCAGTTGTTTCTACTCTTGTCGAAGGAGAAGATACAGATTCTTGGGCTTTTTTGCTCCGAAATTTACGTGTACATGTTATCACGAGGGAAAACATCTGTGTCATTTCAGATCGCGGAGCTGGGATCAAAGCAGCAATGGAGTCTTTGGGTCCAATATGGCAACCACCCTTTGTCCAACATAGGTATTATCTCCGACACATTGCTGCGAACTATCATGGAAGGTACAAGAAGAATGATGAGCGTCAATTAATTGTGTGCATGGGTAAGTGAAACTGATGTAGTTTGTTTTCTTTCAATCGTTTTAATTTTGCAAAGAAAGCAAGTTAGTAAGTTATACATTTTTTGATCAGGTTACGAACTACTTCCTCGAACGTTTGAAACAATGCTTCAAGATTTGTGGGCGAAGAACGAGGAAGGATACGATTACATCAGCCTCATCGATAAAGAAATGTGGTCGAACGCATATGATGGTGGATATCGATATAGACACATGACAACCAACTTGGCAGAGGCAATCAATTCAACTTTAAAGGGTGCACGTCCTTACCAGTAGCGGCTTTGGTAAATACTACATATTTTCGTTTGGGGCGCTTTTTGCGAAGCTCGAGAGACAAGCTCAAACTTGGATGCAAGGCGGTCATGTCTATCACCCTAGATTAGTTACAAATCTACAGAAAAAAATTGATTCATCAAATGGAATGTCTGTAACAAGCTTTTTTAGAAGGCATGAAATGTTTCGTGTCACAGAGTTGATGCAACCTCTTCAAGGGATTGAAGTTGTGTCGTTAAGAGTAAATATAACATCCCAAACTATGGGTTAGTTACTAAATGGTAAAGTTTCAAAAATTTAGTGATTAAAGTAAACGAATGGATTATTTCAATGATTTATCTGGAAATAAATCCTAAAAGTTGTTAGTAATTATCAAATGAAGTAGAGGGCAAAATGGTCATTTGACTAATAAATGAATTAAAAATATATATGATAAGGATATGTATGTTAGAGGGGATAAGAATGAAGAGATATTCTATTCATCTTCTTCTTCTTCTTCTTCTTATTCATATACGAGAGAGAGAAGAGCCAAGCTTGCAAAGGTAAAATTCCTTGTTAGCTGATTATTTGTTAATTTTAAGAGTGAGTTTTGATCATTAGGTAATACTTAAGCTTATGGAAAGCTTAAGTTGTCCTAAATCAAAAGATAAAGTTTATGAAAGATTAAAGAAAATGAGTTTCATAAGGAAATTCTGGAAAAGAGTTAGTAAGTGAATTTGAGAAGGAATTTGACTTGTCATCAATCTAATTAAGGAATATGGAGTGTTAGAATTAGATTTAAAACATGTTAAAAATCTGGTATGATTTGAAGTTAATAAAGAGAAGAGATATTAAGGTTAAAGACGAGATAATTGATTATAAATGAGTTAAACATGTATATGAAAGTTAGGAATATGAAAGAGGATGAAATATGAAGCATTTGAGTGAAGAGTTGATGATTTTCGGGTTCAAAAAGAAGTTCTGGGCAGAGTGCATCGATGCACATTCATAGTGCATCGATGCATCAAGGTTAAAACCCAGAAATTGTTTGAAGGTGTATCGATGCATTGGTAGTGCATCGATGCACTCTTTTTAAATAAAAACATCGAATGCAATTCATGCATCGATGCATAAGTAGTGCATCGATGCATACCAGTAATAAACAACATCGAAATGCATTTTATTCACCGATGCATCAGTAGTGCATCGATGCATACTTTCATTGAAAGATGAAATTGTCATTTTTCTTAGTCTAAGGATGAACCCATTAGAGTATAGTTATAATACTAATAGAGATCTATGTATGATGATGTAGATATAGAACGTGATCCCATTCCGGATCAATTGAAGGATTAATCGAATCAAAGCAAAGCTAAGGTGAGTGCAATTTAATTTTTACTTATATTATTGAATAAATTGGCTTGCGATGAGCCAGTGATGGAGTTACTATGCTAAGAAGTAACTCCTAAAATGTTATGATTTGTGTGATTATGAGATATATAAGTTATATGGAAAGTATATGTGAAATAAGATATGAGCTTATATGAATATGTGATATGAATAAAGCTATAAGAAATGATTTATGTGAATACATGCATTTGTGATTCGTGTTATATGATATTAGATATATGTTTACACATACATATGGTATGTGACCGAAGAGAATGAACGTGTGATTATAAGATCAATGATTACACGTACATTTGGTATGTGACTGAAAAAAAAGATATATGTCATAAGAGAAAGGATATGAATAAGTAAATTGAACTGTTATGAATGTTAATGCCCATGTTATGTGATAAGAGAGCTAGTGGTATAGTTGGCATGCCAAGGGTCGAGGGTTTACCTATGTTCTTCGGGACATATGGACTGTTTACCTATGTTCTTCGGGACATATGGACTGTTTACCTAGGTTCTTCGGGATCTATGGACTGGTCCTTCGGAACGAATACTGAACTAAGGTTCGGTGCCCCATGAGGGAATTGATACGAGCTGTGGTGACAGTATTAGTGCACAACCTCAATGTACTCACATACCTTAAGTTCTCAAATGTATGCATGGGCTAATACGAGGGCTTTA